GAGATAGCAACATGGACCACTGGACTCAAAAAGCAGGGAAAAAGCAACATGAGAGTTGTCATGTTGTGCCAGAGAGGGCATCTTACAGTGTCATTTATGTTTCAATGATATAAAATAACATAAAACCTTGAACATGGCATAACTGTGCAAATACTCATCATTACTGGGTTCCATTCCCTCCCCTCCACCCGATCTGTGTACCAAAAAGACTGAGGAATATAATCCAGCTCGGTGGTTCATCCTGTTGAACCTAAGTCAGTTAGCTGAGGCACCTATTCTGCAAGGAAGGAAAGAACTAAGATTAATTCTCTGTCATATGCTCATGATGACCTTGAATGGCAAGATTTCTGACACTTATCTTTGAAATAATAACCCAGATTATATTATATTCCAAAAGATTATATTCAATATTATTTTGGTTATTTTAAATTTGAAGACTTACTAACCCATGAAAATATTTAAAAAGTGTATTTATCAAAAAAACTACAAGCCAGGAAGCAAAAATATATAGCTTTGCAGGTTTGCTCTATTTGCTTAAGATTGAACACTATCAAAGCTGTTAAATACATATATATGTTAGAAAACAAGCACGGCAAGAGTTACAGCATTCTGTCTTTTACATCACCTTCTCAGAGTGCAAATTCACAGTTTGATGTATGATTAACATTAGGGGAAAATTAATCATCTGATTACCAGCAGGAGAGAGATAAAACGAACACAATATATTGTTGAATTTAGCATTATAATCACAAGAAGAATTTTTAGAGATATATTGCAGCAGGGAATACTCCCAGTTTTACACACAGGAATTTCCTGAATCTAATATGTCATTTACTCCTGGCAAAGTCTGTCCTTTGTCTACATATATTTCATTTTCCCCAAACGGAACAGCACTAAGCTATGTAAGTGCGGGACCAACTTTTGCCAGCTTTGACTACCGTATATAGTAAAGCTTTACTAAAGCATTACATCCCATTATCTGAAAGGTGAGCTAGCAGAGCACCTCAATCATCCTACCAGTTACAAAGGACATTTCAAAGCCTACAACATACCTTATTTTAGAGCAATGCACAGTAAGATTTACTCTTGAGGAGTCTATCTTTTACTTTGATTTGTGAAGATAAATAGAATAGACTAAGGTGTCCTTGACGGAGGGGAACTTTAAACAAAGGCAAATGTGAGCAGGAGAGGATTTTAAGCACACAGAATTCATGCTTTTAACTGTATTTTCCCCATGCCTTTCTGTGTGCTGTTCTGACAGTCTGGCAAAAGTTTAGATCACTCCTCCAGACCTTATTTCCACCACCACAGTCAACAGTCCGGAGTCTTCCACTACCACCACTTTTCTGATGAAGATTAGACTTCCTTTCAATCCTTGTTTGCACCTCCTTTTACTTCATTCTGCGGTGAAGTCTTACCTAACTTCATTATCTATCACTGTAAAAGCAACTGTGCTGCAAAAAATGTGCCTCTTCATTGTACGAATATGGAAACGACAGACTTGGAGAGAAGGACCATGAAACAAAGCTCTCATAATTAGCAGTAGCATGGAAAAATAGGATAAATATTTGTTTAAAATTATTCTGTGACATTTCCACTTTATGGAGAAAATTCCCTTCCATTCCAAATGCCAAGCACTGGAACCCTCCAGTGATCCAACCATTTCTCAGGTTTTTAGAGGAAGGGAATCTACAACCCCTATGACAAACCTGGACTGCAGTAGCAGTGCTGGTCCTGCATCCTGGCTCCACAACCAACAAAGCCACTGAGCTCTACCTCTGCCTAGCAAGTACTGGGTCTCTTCCTTACCAAATTATGCTTCACATTCAGCATTACTTCATGGAGACAGAGAAGCTCTGGACTGCTGAGCTCTGAACTTTACCCTCTGGAGACACCCTGACACACCATGTGACTGAGATCAGCATGTCCAGCCTAACTTCACGTGGCCTATAATTTCTGCCATTGCTGCCAGCTGATGCCAGAGTACCGCAGCCAAGCACAGGGATATGCACCTCATCTGTCCGAAGTCTGCCTGAATTTTGACTCACAGGATGACTGCTGGTTTGCACACATGCCATTACTCATAGTTAACAGACTCAACCTCAAATTTGCAGTTCTCATTTCTTTCGGGCTAGTTGCTTGTAATATTCAGAAAAAAAGCTAGATGTCCCTTCAAAATAAAAAATCCCTTTGATTTCAAGTATTTGTGTTGTTATCCCAGTGCTCTGAAAATGATGGACACTTTAATCCAGCAAGTAGACAGTGTACTTGACATTATTTTTATTTAGTAGCCTGGCCTTTATACCAGTTTCCAGAATGCATGCCCAAACAATGAGCATTTTTGTGAGCATAACATGCTCAATAATTAAGTACAGCTAGGTCAGCTGCTTAAAGCAGAGCTCCTTTTGTAGTATTTCCTTTTCTGAGTATATTTACATAGTACAAAAATAGACCTTTAATTTTGATAAAGTACAAACTCTTCTACCATATTTTGTAACAGAACAGGGGCATTTAAATATTTTCAAATAATCTTTCATATAATTTCAGTCACTCCAAAGGGCTACTTACAGATTCATCTGCTCTGCAGATTAAAAACATGCACAACAGAGGGAGTTTTTAAACAGGATTCTTCACATTTCAGAAGAGAGAATGTTTGAAATTGCTTCTTATATTCCCCTGCCTGTTTGTTGGAAAAGGTGAGCAGTCAAGGCCTCAAGCATCCCCATACATCACAGACCAACCTCTTGTGTTCGAAATGCTGCTTACGGCAAAAGGCTTCCCAACACCACTGTGAGGACCTGGAACACACTTTCAGGGATTTTTATATTGAAACTACATTCTCATATTGCTGGCTGAAATCCTGCTTGCAGAGAATGAATTTTCATTCAGACTTGTGAAAATATCTTAAGCTTCAATGTATTTATGCAACGTTATGTCAAGATTGCACTACATTCAAGCCCAAGCAAAACAAGCCTGCAGCTGCATAGTCAGTTCATCAAACAGCTCTTTGGAAAACAAGAACTTTAGTTTCAAGGTTTTGCTGAATTCAGGATTAAAGAGCTCTTAAAAATCCTTTACTTCATATGGAAAGATCCCAATGGCAGGCAAAAAAATTCATAAGTATTGTTATATTGAATTATTTTCAAACAAGGTTTACAGTTTTCAAATACGTAAATGTCTAAACCTGGACAACTAAATCCTCATGTACACTCATAAATTATTGGGCTGGATTTCAGAAACTCTGAGAACTCTCAATTATCTCTCTACTGCCAAGGAAGAACCTTGTGTGCTCTCCTCTGTAAACCAAGCCACCTGGATTTGGTGATCAAATAAAACACATCCACACAAATATCCCACCACTTTGAAATTTACTGACTAGGCCTCTGGCATTACTGGGAGCCAGTCAAAATAATGGTTATTAACCAAACTGTGGATTTGTTTGATAAGCAGTAGGAAAGTGTGAGCTGCCCCCTGTATCCCATTGCTCACTGCAATGAGACTGATGATGTGCTCTCCATTATCAGTATTTCAGAATACACGTTTTGCCTATTCAGTTCAGACATAAATCACAGAATCACAGAATGGTTTGGGTTGGAAAAGACATTAGGATCATCTAGTTCCAACCCCCCTGCCACAGGCAGGGATGCCTCACACTAGACCAGCTTGCTCAATACCCCACCCAACCTAGCCTTGAACACAGGCACGACTCCCCAGAGCAACCTGTTTCAGTGCCTCACCACCCTCACAGTAAAGAATTTCTTCCTAATATCTAGTCTAAATCTACCCTGAGAGAAGGTAGACTGTTATATTATGCTGCCTTGAGATGAACAAAAATTACTTCAGCTATGCATTTTGTATTTTAAGTGTTATTCTTTGTCTCACCTTTCCTTTTGCACCCACTATAAACCCCCTCATCACAGACTGTAAAATAAGAGGATCACAGCTACAACCCATTTTGAAGGTCTTCTCTAGCTTCAGAGTAGCTAGTAGCTAGTAGTCTGTTTCTCTAGGACTGAAAGAGCCTTGGTGTTAGTGAAGTATAAAATATTTTCCTTTTTCTACGCAGTATGTGCATATAATAACACAAATAGCAAGAAATACTCTTGTTACTACAGCACCACCGGTATGATGCTGATCAGTTTCAAATCACTGCATATCTGGGCATCTGCAAAGTGAAGCTTACTTCTTAAAGTTCATAATATTAATAAAAGATACTCACAGGCTGCTGGGGTTTTCCAGCTACAGAAAAACTGTAAGAGGCTACAGTAGGGCCAGCCTTACCACTGAGAGAATCTGTTCAAGAACACAGGTCATTTATCCAGGTTTTTTGCTACCAACACAACAGAAAGGACATCCTGGGGCCATGGCCACCATTTTGCAAGCAAGGCCTGACATCTCTACTGTTGTACTCTTGGCAGAACAATCGTCAGTACATGGTGAAATTACTACCAGCTAAACAGTATTCAACTACAAGGCTGCCTGCAAAGCTTGGAAGTCTTAAGCTGTTACTTCTCTTTAATATGATAATCTACAGTTCTCTGTAAAACCATCTAAAAAGGTTGAATGCGCATTCCACTACTGCTCTCATCTTTGCTATTTCAATAATGAATAGAGCTGCTAAAAATCAGCTGCAGCTGGCAGAACTAATACTTGAGACAAAACCAGGGAGACTTTTTTCTCATTCTCTCTTATGCCTGAGGAAATAACATATACATGGCTCCTTGCCCATCCACTCAAACACTTAAGTCACACACCTATGCCTCTGGAGATGGGTGTTTGTGTGTGTGGGAGGCAATGCACAGGGATGAGGTGAGGTCTGGCAGGCAGCACCACGGCCTGCTGAAACCTCAAACCACATTCCATGTACACAGTTTAGTGCTCACTTCATCCACAAACCCAAATGAGTGTCCAGTCCATTTATGTACCCAAACTCTTGCTTGGCCAACTCATATACTAAACTCAGGATCCCACTGATGGGGACACCTGCCCCACTTCCTCACCTGACCACGTTGGGGTGCTCGAATGTCTCCAGGTGCCTCAAAACTGCCACCTCTCGGATGGTGGACAGCGGCATCCCCTCCTCGCTGGTCTGCACCCGTACCCGCTTCAGAGCAACAAAGCGGCCACCGTTCTTCAAGTCTCGGGCTTTGAACACCTTCCCATAGGCTCCTTCCCCAATCTCAGCCACACATTCATACTGCTGGTCAGCTAGGCTTGTGCTGTCCTTATCCATGCTGGCGCCACTCCTCTTCCTCCCGTGCTCCAAGTGTCTTGGGGTGGCTCTCAGTCTCGCTTGCTTTCTGATAATGAGTACGTTGTTCACGTTGGCAGATAGGCCACGCACTTGGTACCTCTGCCAGAGGGGAAGTAGGAAGCTCTTGCCCTCCTGTTCTCGGTCCTCTTCTGTAAGGGCCCCAGTGTGCCTCCTCTTCTGGCCACCAGGAATTATCGTGCAGTCTTTGGGAGCATTGTCTGCGTAAAGTCAGTTAGATCTGGAGGACAAATCAAGCAAGAAGTGAGTTTAGTTTGTTACTTAGCACTGTCCAAAAAATGAGAAAACTAAGCTCGTATAGTAGGTAACTGCATGCAAAGCAAAAACATGGTGCAAAGGAAGACGTGAACCAGCAGGGAGACATGTGTATCAGTGTCCCTGCATGGCTGATACAACACTACAAAGTTATCACAGTTTGCGCAGAAGGCTGAAACACAGAGCCACAGAGCAACTGCGTGCTGTGGGATCTGACTGTGCAATGGGTTGAATACGATGACCCTCCAACACATGGGTGATAGGGATGGCAAAGCTAACTAACTATGCAAGGAAGTCATGCGCAGCAACTCATGTCAGGATTGCAGGACCCAAAGGCTTCTTGAGTGCATGCAGTGGAGTCTTGGGAATATATCCCATGCTATATCACTGTTACTTATTTGTAACATTTGGGGGTTTCGGCCTTGATTTTCTCTCCCCTGTGCTAAGCCCTTCATGAATACATTGCAAGAGGCAAGTTCCTACTCTGAAGCGCGTGTGTGGAGGAGCAATATGTACATACCGAACTGTCAATTATAGTATGTTACCAAGCATCATGTGCTGAGGTAGGTTCAGAAATACACACTTCAGGAAAGTTACTGACACGCAAGGATTTCGTCTGTGGACACAGATACTGCTGCCTGTGTGACTGGAAGCTTAGCTCCTTCCAGAGCAGCCCAGCGAGACATGGTCTTCAGGAACAGCACGCTCTGCTGCGCAGCACACGAGGCTGGAGAGCAGAAGCTCTTCCTCCTGTACCCAGTTTGCCTGTATCCAGTTCCACCCACCCTTTCTGCAGAACTGAAGGCAAATCCTCTCCCCTCACAAAACTCCACATCAACACTCTCCCTTTCCCTTGCCACCTTTTAATATAATAATACGGTGACCTCCGGGGCTTTAACCCTCTCCTACGATGCGCTTTCACCAGGCTAGGATTAAAGAGCCCCAGACAGCTCAGTCGGGGCTCCTCTACCCTGAATCCACGCATAAAGCCAGAGGCATATTGCACCTTTATGCTGGTCTTACACCTTATTCGCAGAAGAAAAGCAGAGCAACCTGAAGAAAATCCGTGCCCGCTGCTCACCGCTTTTACCCGTCTGCAGCCTGAACCGACCCCGACCCCCTTCCTCACCCCCACTCCCACCGCCTTCCTCACTGACTCCAGCTGCCACCGCCGGAGCTGCTGCCGCCTCACCGCCCCGTGTAACCTGGCTCCCCCGCAGCACCGGGCAGCACCGAGCGCGGACCACCGCGCCTCTCCCCGCCACCGGGACCCGGGCACACAGACCGACCCGACCGACTGACCGACGGACCGACCGACAGACAGACAGACACCTGCACCGGAGCCCCCGGCCCGCATCCCGGCCCGCGCAGCTGCGGAGGGCGCCCCCGAGCGGCGGGCAGGGGCGGGCAGCGGAGGTGCCCGTGTGCGTGGCCGCGGGGTCGGCGGGCCTGCCTCCGCTCGGCCGCGGCGCCAGGCGGAAAGTCACCGCTTGCCTTCCCCGGGCACGCCGGGACACCGCGAGTACCCCCCCCCGCCACGGCCCCAACCCCCCCCTGCCTCGGCACCGAGCTTCCCTCCGCGGGCGCCCCACACGCGGCGGGGGGTGGCGGCGGGGGACACGCGGGGAAGCGCGTACCCCCGCTTCCTCTCAGGGGACGGATGGTGGGGGGGGGGAAGACCGGCTGGCCACTCGGCAGGACGCGGAGGGGAACCCCCCGATGGCTCCCCAGGACGGCAGCCCCTTCCCCCGCGGCCCCTTCGCGGCCCCCGACACGGGGGGTGCCCCCACGCCGATCCCAAGGCGGGCTGCGGCTGCACGGCGTGGCGAGCTGCCCCCGGCAGCAGCAGGGACGCGTCCCCGGTGCCGTCCCAGGGGGGTTGCGGGCCGGGGGCAGCTTGTGGGCCACGCCGCCGGGCCGGGTGCGCGGAGCACATGGGCGCCCCGCGTTACCTGGTGTGCGCCGCGGCCGCCTGCACCGCCACCAGATCCCCAAATAATCCTCAGCCCCGAGGGTGTGGGGGGGGTGGAGAGGGAGGGGGTGAGTCCTCCCTAAAACAAACCTCCCATTGAGCGAGGCGGGGTGGAGAGCCGGCCCCGGGTCTGCCCCTTCACATGGCGATGTCTCCGGCAGGTCCCGGCAGCGGCCGCCCGGGCCACACAGGTAGCTGCTCCGTAGCTCGGCCGCCCTCGGCTCGCATCCTCCTGCCGCCGCCGGGCTGCACCTTGGCGCAGAAGGCAGCTCGCACTAAGTCCCCCCGGCCCGCTCCGCCCGCCCCCCCCCACCCTCCCCCCTTGCCCGGGGAAAACGAAAACGCGAAAGAAAAATCGCGGCCGGCGGCCCCCGCGAAGCTGCAGCGCCGCGACCGCAGCCCCGCCGGCCGCAGCCTGCCCGTGCGGGGCTCGTCGCCGGCCCTCGGCGCGGCAGCTGCTCCGGCGCTGCGCTGCTCTGCGCTGCCTCCCCTCGCTCGCTGCCTCGGCCTCTGCTCAGCCTGGGAGCAGCAGCAGCTTGCTGCCTTTTTTTTTTTTTTTTTCTCCCCCTCTCCTCAAGTTTTTTCCCTGCTTTCCCACGCTGGCTGAATGTGACTTGACCCCGTTTCAAAAAAGTTTGACATAGTGCTTCAACATTTCCGCATTCCTCCCCGACTACAAAGGCTGCAGCCGCCTCCTTCTGCTTTCTGTCTCTGCTCTCTGTCTTCACACTCAATGAAATCCTTCATGTGCCTCTGCCAAAGGCAGCCGCATACCGCAAGGGTCGCCGCGAGCGCCGCGGCCAGGCATGGCCCGGGGCGACTGCCCCGGGGGGTCCCCGGCAGGGCCCGGCCCCGGCCCTGGCCCCGGCGCTGTGCTCGGAGCTGCACGGGCGCGGGCGCAGCCGGCTGCGGCAGCACTGAGGAGCCTGACTCATTCCTGGGGCTCGGCGCTGGGAAATAACCCTTTAGGGGGTTGTTGCTTTTTGGTTGGTTGGTTGGGGCTTTTAGGTTCTTTTTTCTCCGTTCCTGGGAAATAACATTCCCACCCCCCACCCCCCCAAACTCGTATTCTGCTTTCCTTTTTGATACTTTCCATTCACAGAGCGCAGGCAGGAAGTCAGCGCCCATGAATGCTTTCGGGAAGCATCAAGAAACTTCGTTGCTGAAGACCCCCTACCCCCAGCAGAGTCTTGTCCGCGCAGACTTGCGCTGAAGCTGCGCGGGTCAGGGTGTGCAGAGGAGCTGGGTACGCCCTCAGCCCGTCCTCGGGTGGGGAGGATGCTTGTTGTGGAGCCAAGCCCTCCAAATACTGAAGTTGACACCACTAAAAAATAATCACCGACCTACCCTGTCTCCATGGGGGAAAACACACACCTGGAGCCTAATTCCCAGTTCTCCCAGCCAGTACCCTCCAGCTTATGCTTTTCTGGACATCAAACATGATTATCGTCCCACTCCAGAACCAGCTCTTACGGTGGTTTAACTGGGAGAGAGTGCAATGGTAGTGTAATTTAACAAAGTGGGTTTATAACTCAAACAGTGCATGTCGAGGACTTGGCATCATACACCGATCTGGAATAACTAAAAAAAATGCATACACTGCTGTACAAACTAAAATAATTCATATTAGAAAAAAAAGCATGTAATTACCCTTCTGGACTCACAGTGCTGCAGAGGGTAGGACATACATCCTACAGAGGATATATGAAATCCTATAGCTTCAATAAAATTTGTTTCCCTTCCTTCAAAACTGACACCAGCAATTCCACATGCCCTTCCTATTCCTGAGAAGTTAGAAAAAGCACCTGGGGAGCTGTTGAGGGGCAACTGCCTGAGAGCAGAAGGGAGACCTCCGATTCCTCCTGGAGCAACTGGGGAGGCTGTGCTACTCGTGCCTTCAAGTAGAAGGCCAGGGGCATGTGAATGTTTGCAGGAGACCATGCATACTTTGCAAAAACTTAAGTTATGCTCATATTTTAGTTTAAATCCAAGAAGCGCCTCAACAACTTCTGAAGTCAGTGATTTACCATAAAAAGATGCTGCAGTTAATGGCAAACCCCATAACCTTTAACTGTGAAATTTTAATACACAGGTCAATATTATTTTTTTTCAAATGTGAAAAGTCACAGCATATGACAAGGTTCATATGTACAATACACTACCTCCCTCTTGTCTGGTTTCTAATATTTATGGTTTTCTTAAACCTTTTTTTAAACCTTTTCTAAAGGTTTTTTAAAACCTTTATTTCTCTCTTTCCTTTGTTTTCTCTCCCTCCCCCTGTCTGTCTACTTTTCTCCCCCTATCTCTCCTAACCTAATATTTATGCAGCTGTAACAAGCTTGGTACAGAAAACCTTAGGTTCCAGGGACATTAGGGCTCTCACTTTACATGCAAAAAGCTTTACTTCTGAAGAAAGAGCAGTGATGTCTTGGTTGTTGTCTGCCCCTGAGGATCTCTGAATCTCCACACTCCAAGCTAGGCTGGGGTTAATTGCTGTTTTCTCAAAGAGGGACTGAGGGGCACCAGGTCCTCTGGCCAGGTGGAGGTGCAGCTTCACGTTCAGGATGAACATGGGAGATTTCTGCTGTCCCCTGACATTTGCCTCTGTGCTCAACTGTGCAGTTTTATAATTCTCCTGATAAACAGTGTACAACACAAGCTCAGCCTTTCATCCCCTATTCTCCCAATAGTTTGGGGGTGTATGTGTGATGGTTCTTTCAGAAGTGTTTATCTGCCTACCTATGTGGTGCTGTCAGTAGGGATTGCCATGGGAGATTACACTGCTCATGCTATCACACTTTATGAATTCAAAACATGGAAGTGCCACACAGTTACTGTGGCTCTGCTTGAGCCTCAGATTTTTTTCAGGGACTGTTTAAAAAGTGATATGACTATTTTTGTTTTTCCCTCCCTCCACCTGGCGATCTGGGAATCAAAGTGCTTTGTCTCCCAAAGCAGAGTTCAAAGAAGCTCTACAAACCTCTGAAGTGACCCAAACCAATTTTCTCTATCTTCTTTATATAGAAGTTAAATGATTTAAGGAAGAAATTTCCAAACATGATTGAATATAAACATCAGCTAAAATGGATGATATTACAAATAATTTGTTGTAGAGGCTAAAATTACTTTCCTGAACTATCAAAATTCTTTGAAAATATAAGATGTACTCTGTTTGTTTTAAAGTTCAAGGTCAAGAACATATTTCAAATAATACACATTTTAGAAAAATTCTAAATAATCAAAAACTAAACTTCAATTAAAGTTGTTTTTTTCTTTTCGTAAAACCTTTAAAAATGTTTAATCTTTTGTTTTCATGAAAGCATCATTCTTCTTTTAACATTTCTGAGTTAGAACAGATAAGTATACATTTATTTTTGTATCAATAATGGATGTTTACCCACACAGAAATTAATAAATCCCTTATTTCTTTTGTAATTGAAAATTGTTTTATCTTTAGAAATTTACAGCTGTTTTGAGAAATTAATGTTTTAAAAAGCTTATTAAATGTTGTTGTGAAATGAATTCCAAATACTATCTGTTGCTACCTCTAAATTTACTCAATTCTAAAGTATTTTGTTTTGTTCTGGAAAAACAACAATTTGGGAATGTGTATTGAAAATGAAAGAAAAGAAATTTCTTTCTACATCACTCTTTGCCTGTTTTCCATCAACTTTTCCTTGGTCAAAATATGTTTTTCGCTATTTTTCAATTCTAGTATTTTGAAGTTTAGTGTTTTTTAAAGAACACAGGAACAAGGAGAAACAATTTACACTGAAGTGCATTTAAAAAGAAAAATTTGAATGCAGTATTTGAATTGGAATTGAATTGCAATCAAACTCCATTCACACTAGAAAGAAATTATGTTTTATGCTGTGTACAAATCATTTTCATAAAATGAGGTCTGTAATGTTTTGCTGGAAATAATGAATAAGCCAGTGGTGTGGGAATGGCTAACAAGCAATTACCAGAACGACTATAAAGCAGTTGATTAAAATAAGCTGGTAGTGGTGGGCAATACCAAAACGTGGGATGAATAGACTAAGAGTTTCAGAAAGGATGAGACACAGTGTATTGTTTTGCTTTGTGTATTTTATCTGTTTCGGGAACAGCTGAGGTTCTGCTGGGGATTCACAGTTTGATCTTACAAGAAGTGTTCTACAAATCAGCATGAAATTTCCTTTTCAAAGTACAGATTTTCATACAGCTTTTGGAAAATAATTTGCTCTGATTGTGGTGTTGTTGTCAGGGTTTGTTTTTTCAGTTGCATCTTCAGTTTCAATTCATATGGTTTTAAACCAATTTTTTTTCTGGGCATTTATCCTCAAAAAAACACCTGAACTGAGGAGAGACCAGCTATTGTTGCAGTAAAGAGATATCAGTCAACTGCTGTGAATATGAATAATTAGAACCTGCAGTGGCCAGAATTTGTTCTAAAATGGTAGCATAAATGATGTCTTTTTAGAAGTTCCCTGTAGCAAGCTGAATTAGGTTTTATAGTAAAACAGTAAGTATTTACACTGTGTAGAAAATGATTCCTGAAAGGATATTTCACATGTCACATCTCATACTGAACTTGGGAAATAATGTTTTTCTCCAGTCATTAGCTGTGTTGTATGTGTATGAAAATGGACTGTAAATATTTAGTAAATATTTTAAAGCTACTTTTAATGAAACAGACATAATGAGAAATGTGCTCTAACTGAACACTAAGAATTCATTCTAACATGAAATATTGAAATGCTTTCCATATGTACCTTCTTAGATAGTTGAACAAGAACACACAAAAAACCCTAAATAATATTTGCAGAAAAATAATTCATTAACATTCACATACTGTTTTAACCAATTCAAGTGAGAGTACTAATCCATGTAAAACGTATGCAGGCACTGCATAGCTGCCAGCAAGTAAGGCACCTAAGCCAATTAAAGTATGATGGTTTAGTTTATTTTTCTTTCAGTCAGAGCCTTAGTTTATAGCAGATAATTTTATGTTTTACAAATTGTATCTTTCCGTTATTACAGTAATAAACTATACTGTGGGGCTATTGTTTCATAGTACAAAGAGCCATAACATAATGTTAGGTATTTAAGCATACACATATTTGTTTATGTATGCTTTAGTAATTACCAGTCACTGGAGTGGCCAAGAAACATGCCATGTGAAAAGCATGCCTAAAACTAACACAAGCCTCTTTGCTTCAACAGTCTCTGAATACTCCAAGGAACACACCTGAGTGAATCAACTAGCTGTGTTTTCTTGTCCAGCTCTTCAAGCGAGAGCCAGTGAACTTCACTGGCTTTCTTTAGAAGGTTGACTTTTGGGGATTGTTATGCAATGGGAGATCAAGAGCAAAGTGTATACCTGCTGTCAAGAAAACA